AAATTAGTAGCTTTTGACTAACTTGACTTTTTTATCTATAGATTTTCAAAAAACAGAAATGGGCTGAAATCAAGAGATAGAAGGGCCAAGGAAAGAAGTCCTAGGGAACGTAGCAACCTGCAGGTTCATTGTTTCCTAAATAATCAGCAGTTAAACAATTCTGCATTACCTGAATATTGAATATGGTCAAACCTACATTTGTCTCTTAGAACTGAGCTTAAATGTCTTATATAAGGTTTCTTTTCTCATTACTGTTCCTTCAATAGTGGTGGAAATACATATTTTTTAAAATATGAAGAGTACCAATCTTTTTTTTTTTTTTTTTTTTTTTTTTTTTTTTTTTTTTTAGCAGGCAGAGAAGACAGTGAGAGAGAGAGAGACAGAAAGAGAGAGAGAGAAAGGTCATTCCTTTGCCATTGGTTCACCCTCCAATGGCCGCTGTGGCCAGCGTGCTGCGGCCGGTGCACCGCGCTGATCCGAAGGCAGGAGCCAGGTGCTTCTCCTGGTCTCCCATGGGGTACAGGACCCAAGCACTTGGGCCATCCTCCACTGCACTCCCTGGCCACAGCAGAGAGCTGGCCTGGAAGAGGGGCAACCGGGACAGAATCCGGCACCCTGACCAGGACTAGAACTCAGCGTGCCGGCGCTGCAGGTGGAGGATTAGCCTATTGAGCTGCAGCGCTGGCCAGTAACAATTTTCTAATTGTGATATTGATGGCAGCCACTCAGAGGGCCCTTCCTGTGTGGATGGGATCAAGTTCAGTGTTATCTTGGGCCAGAGGAGACAACCTAGGAAACCACAACTCATCAGTTTCCTTTCTTTTCTATGGGAAAAAAAAAAAAAAAAAAAAAAAAAAAAAAAAGAAGGCCCCACATCCTTGCACTGCACAGTAGCAAAAAGAGTTGTAAATCAATGGCAGGAAGAGGAACAAAACGATTTCCCCCAGCTTTCACAGGGGGAACAAGGAAGTCAAAAGCAGCAACAAGACTTTCTAACTTAGCTCCGTAATTTTCATTCTCATGTTATTAAAGGGAGGTCATTATTGGCACATGGAAGCATAAATCTATATTTTGAAGTCCTTTTTCCTGTCATTGCTCACAGAAGGCAACAAAGAAGCACTTGGTGAACTGAATCTCTTATCTGAAATGGAGGCAGAAGGGAAGGCAGTTTCTGGGAAATAAATACCTTTATCCATCAGTAAAGAAATTGGCCAATGGGGAATACAAATGGAATGTTGAGCTCTTCAGTGCTATACCATGGGGAGAAATGGAAGGTGTTTCCACACGTGGACTTCATGGAAACTTTGGTATGTGAGAAATCTGTAACAAAAAGTCCACAGCAGCCATGGGGATTGCTTTGTTTGATCTTTTCACTGAGGATTTAGGGCCTGCAAACTGGGAGGCATGTTTTTCGCATTGGCCATTTTAGTATTCATGTCTCCTGTACTGCTTTCTAATAAGTTAAGAATGAAACGGGAGACTGCGTGCAGGAGTGAGAAATGCAAGAAAAGCAGTACTGTAAAATAAAAATGAATGAAAGTGCATCTCCACTTCCTTTTTCTTATTAACAGGTAAGAGAACAACAATGTGAATTTTATTGTTATTACTTAATGCTTCACCTTTACAAAAGGGCCTTATAGACACTTTTTCATGTTGTTTCTCAATAGTTTTCTGATAGGGGATTGGGTGGTCTGTCAGCATTCTTAACATGCATTTATAATATCAGATTGAATGATTTTCCAAAGATGATCAAAATGCAGTCTGCGCCAGCAACAGTCTTTTCTGTGGGAATAGGTGCTCTCTGCTGATAGGGTATACCAGGCCACTGGCTGCCTGATGATTTGAATTTTGTTTCCTTATGTTAAGTAGACCCAGTTTTTCACTCCTATTCATCCTCACTCAATTACTCAGATGTATAGTGGTTACTAAATATAAACAGCATAACAGGATAAGATCTAAAGAGAATGGTGAAGGACCTTTAACTCTTCTTTGTTACACAATGTGTGTGAATATTGTGGCTCCCATGGGTAGCTATCTCTGCTTGTATCTGTTGGAAGGCATCTTTCTAAAAGGAGCCTGGAGATGCGCTGAGAACTGTGTGCTTGAATCAAGAGGGCCAAGTATGCTGATTCAGAAGCTGTGGCTGATCTCAAGTTTAAGGTGGTTGTGAGTTACTTTGTTTATATAGAGTCACTCAATACCTAAGCAGAACTCAACCCAGGACACTGTCTTCCCTCATTAACTTTCATACTCGCTTCCCTGACAAATCAGCTTAGCATTTAATCTAGAGCAAAAGAAAGGCAGTAGAAGTTCTGCCATCTTTGATGTTTTGTTCAACTTTGAGAGAATTTGGATATTATTCCTAGGAGAAACATTTCTTCATTTATTACTAACATGGCCCAAATAGTATAGAAATTTGTCATATATATACACAAATATACTTTTTATTTCCTTTCACATCAAGTAAATTTAGTTAATAGGTACTCATTGATTCTTACTTGTTGGTCTATTGATTATTACATCTAACATAGGAAAACTATGGGAAATAGACTCTACTCTGGGGAAGTGGACTAAAGTATCCATTACAATGTTACTTGTCTCCCTATTTGCATGAAGAACTTTTATTGACTGATGCTTTTAGGATACAAAGATACAGTCCTTGAGCTTATATTGCCGGTGGTGATATAGTAATATAAATTATTCCTGCAATTTACTGGGTGAATGCTATGTGCTAGATGATTTATAAACACTATTTATTAAAAATATACTCAAATGATCTGACAAAATACACTATGAGTCAGAATACTTAAATGACTTCCTCCAGGTTATAGGTCTAGGTTGGAACCAAGGTCTGTCTGACTCAAAGCTCATGCATTCTTACTACATCTGTCCAAGAAAACAGTTAAATCAGGCAGTGAGGAAATTTTAAGTAGGATTACCATATGTTCTAGTCTAATTATTGTCCCAGCATAATTAATAGATCTCTTTCATGCTCAAAATTCTGTTTGGACAATATATTTGACGATCAACTTATCTGTGAGCAGTGTCTAAAATGAATATAAGAGGAGTCAACATGGTGGTGCAGTGGGTTAAGCCACTGCTTGTGATGCCAGCATCCCGTATTAGATTGCTGGTTCAAATCCTGGGTGCTCCTCTTCCAGTCCAGCTCCCTGCAAATGTACTTTGGAATGTATTATATGATGGCCCTAGCCTTTGCACCCTTCCTCATGGGAGGCTAGGATGGATTTCTGGCTCCTGGCTTCAGCCTGGCCCAGATCTGGCTGTTGTGGTCATTTGGGCACTGAAGTGGTAGGCAGAGGATCCTCTCCCTCACCTTCGCCCTCTCCCCCACCCTCCGCCTTTCAAATAAGTCAATAAATCTTTTAGAAAATGAATAAAAGACTTAGGTAATGTTTGCAATGTTTTATTCATCTTTTAGCATCTACTGAATCAGGGCTTCAAGTAAGTGGCAAATTGGACCGAGTTTGGTATGTTTGGGGAACAAATAGATTTGGGAACGAATACCATTTCCTGGTCAGGTCTAATGTCTCCTTGTCTTTTATGTTCTGTTTTGCTGCTGCCTCCCTTTGAGAATCTTTTGTCCTTCCTCTTTTCTCTCTCCTCCTCCTAGTCTCCATGTGTCATCAGTGTAGGTGTCTTCATCGATCAAGTGTCCAAAAGTTGATTGTTTGGCTTTACTTTACCTTTAGACTCAGATAAACTTTTAACATACAGCTTGGTCTTTCAGTCAGATGGTTAATTTGTCAAAAGGAGAATAAAAGTCATTTACAGGCATCTCTAACTTATTCTTCTTTCTTCCCTCTGCTTAATCTCACTGTTGCTACTCCACCACTGCTTTACTACAACCATGGTGTTAGTGGTGCCCAGGGAGCTTTCTGGTTGCAGTTCCTGGACAATGCTACTGCAGGTTTCGCTGGGGTAAGCCAGCTCAGAAACCTATTATTTCAAGCACCACCTCACATGTCTTTACTCCTCTTCTGCTCTTATGGGCAAACTGTTGTTCAGTTTCTATTACTCTAAAGGGCTTTCTGGAAGAGCATAGAAAATTATTTTTGTTTTTAATCTGATTTTTAAAAAAACTGCTTAAAAGACACACAATAAGAACATTTAACTTTCACATTTGTCAGTTGTAAATGTATGGCTTTGATTTGTGGATCAAAATTGCTCATTTATTATTTTATCTTTACAGCTCTGGGCGATTTTGACAGTTAAAATTTAGTTTTATTGACCAGTGCAGCCACTGTGCCCACGAGGGGACTAGTGCACACAGCCTGCTGCACTCAAGAAACGATGATTTTTGATTCCACGACTGCATCAGATTGGGAATCATAACCGATATAACAATAAGTTCCAAATCTCAGTGCCCAAGGCAAGAGGTTTGCTGTAAAACACAATCACCCTTTAAGGAAGGGAGGGGAGAATCTTGGGAAGTTTGCAAGCACAGTTTAATACAACTGGAATAGGCAACACTCATCTAGCTGTCCATCCAAACTCTGCCAGAGCAACATATGGGGGCACTTCTCCAAGGACTGGCTACCACAGACCAAAGAGCCATGAGAAAAAATGCCTAAAAAGCAGAATGGATGCTAGTTACAGAGACGATGTGCTAATTAACTATTTTAGTGTGAGAAAAATGTATCAGTACTCTTAACTAATCCTTCAATTTTCAATCAACAATAAACAAGAATTTGAAGTGGGGGTAGGGGAATCTCTGCTCCTCCTGCACACACCTCCAACTCCAATTGCAGCACACGTAGTGACGTAAACCAGTACAGTGATTTTAGGCCAATTTTAATTTAGGCCTATTCGACTACCAAATTGGCCACCTCTGCAATGTTAATTTAGTCCTTTACTCTAAATCCCCTGTGATACATAAACAAACCTCCAAGGGTAACAAATCAATAAAATGTCTAATTTGATTAACCATGTTTTCGAATCCAAGACAGCTCTAACCTGAAGTAAATAAAAAGTGCACTCACTTGTGAGTATTTTCCATGTCTTCTTTTCATCGTCGTAATACTGAACCAAATTGCTGGGGAGCCGGTCCGGTCCAGGAGGCAACCCTCCAACCAACAACAGCATTTTCTTGTTAGAACGAATTCTTCACCCAAAACAAAAGAGGAGATGAATAACCACATTATTGTAGAGTCTTTTTTAGTGGCAACGAAATCATAACCATCAAAAGAATGTTCTTTGCTTGCAGATTTCTATTTCATTTTTTCCTGTTTCTTCTCCCATTCATGTCTCAACAATTTTTTTTTGAACGAAGCAGAAAAATGATCAGAAGAGCTGCATATCCCCATACCCATGGAATAATAAGCTCCCTTTATGCAATTTGTTAGAGGTTCATTCTAGAACGACCTTTTTCTTATATTATCCCTTTAAATCATCACTCTTTACAGCTGAGTACACATGAAATGCTCTGGAGTTGTACTAAGGTTAAGCATTAAAGTTGCATGTCAAAAATCGTATTAGTCAAAATCATTATTATAAGCCATTCTCCACTCAAAGAACCTTGAAAAAATTAAGGTTATGCAGAGAGTTTGTGAGCCAACTCTTTAATCACCCAGGGAACTTCAAATACCAGTTTGGTACAATTAGTAGCACAGGGCTAACTGGGGTGGGTTAACCAGTTTGAACATGAATTTTTTTTGTCTGTTTAATTTAGCTTAGACTTCTGCCTTCATCCCCTTTCCCTACTCCCAGCTCGCCCTCCCCTCTGCTCTCCCCCTGTGCACCACTGGCGATATAGCAGCACCAATTGGTAAAAATGAGACTGTGATGTTGTTGTGAGCCTCCCCAGAGTGGAGCCCTGCCAATGCTTGCCACTGATCCAGCGGCATGAACCTGCTCAACTGTGCAAAGTCACTCTAATTCCCTCCCTCTGTTTTTCTACCTTCTCCCCCAGGGGGCACCCACTGAAAGGAGTGACTACCCACCCATCAAGAGCTGGCAATTCGCTGCTATTAACCGTGACCGTGATTCCCAGTCTGCCTGGCAGTTCCTGAGAAGAGGCCTGCAACGTCTCATATGCAGTAAAAGCTATAAGATGCACCCTGGCCGGCATACTCGACCTGATGGATATACAATCCTCGGGAACAGTAATGGATTGAGCACACTTGCTGTTGAAGCAGGGAGCGGAGGCCCAGACCCCTACGAGGGGCCTGCTGCTTTAACAGTCGCTTTACATATAATTGAACTTTTCATTTACCTGAAAGGCTCAAGGTGGTGGTAGAAGAAATGGAACAACCATGATTGAAGGGAAAAGTCCATAAATACAAAAGTGTTCTTCTTAAATATGAACACAGCCCACAGTGTAGCTCTGGATCTATTATTGCATACACAGCCCGTTCTGATTCAAGGATGCTTGACAAAATATGCCCTGGTGGAGAAGCATTGTTTGTTGGAGAAGAACCTAGCGTTTGGAGAGTTTACTTAATACAGTTAATGGCATTGAAGGTAGGAACAAGAGAATTCCTTTAATGAAACTGATGCCATTGAGTCCATTGTATAAACCTCAGTAGGAAAAATACTTTTAAAGAAATTCCTGTGTTAGAGAATTATCGATAGGGGGAGCTGGACATGTAGACAGATGACGAATGTTCATCTTGCCACTGTGTGAATATAGATGAGAGAAAAGAAAACCCAACTTCTTTGCATTTAATATACTTTTGAACTCCACCCATGTGCCTCATAGGCCACTGGTTGGCAAACAAAAACAGATCACAACAGCAGAATCCATACTTTAAGGACTGCAGTGATTTTGTGAAGGGAGATAAGGTAAGTGAGTATGTATGGTAAGTACTCCTTTATTTAGAAATAACACCTAATTTATGTGCCATCTCACTTCCAAAATGCATAGTCACAGAACAGCCAGCCAGCCAGCCATTCTTTTCACTATTGTTCTTAGTCCAGATAATCAGCTGCTTTGTGTGTAGAAAAGAAGTCAAGATGAAGGCAGACAATCTTTTTTTGGTTGCTGTGAGTTACCATGTGTAGACAGATCTGATGAATTGGAAGTCATGATTCTGTGGCTGTTATGAAATCATCACATATCTGCATGCTGCCAGACAATCAGTGAGGGCAGACAGATCAATATCAATAGGGTAGACATAGAGGAAAGACTCATTGAAGGGGTGATTGTGGCAAATGCATATAATTTATTTTAATATATAAGAGTACTGTTTTAAAAATCTGATTAATAACAAAGGTGATAATTACATGGCTCCAATATGTTTGTTCGGTCATTTCATTCATTGATATGGTCAGCTTCCCTGGATTATTCCCACTGGAGATTTTCCACACTGACTTGAGTTGACCATCTCTACGGATGAAAAGAGGATCTAAAGTCTTTGTCTTCTCAGTACAAAGAACCAGCCATTTCCATCTGTCCTGTGACAACAGGAAGTCAGGCTACCAACACCTAAGCCATAAAACAGATGACAGTTGCTAACAACTTCCACCCCCTATCAATAATGACACAATTCAAGGTCTAGCTAGCATAGCAGCAAAGAAAGACACTGCACACACAGCCTCAGCAGGTGATGTGAGGAAGAATTACCTGGAAGTAAAGAAATCCCACCTACCCTCATTGATTGTATGTTTCCTATGTAGAGGCAGTGCCTGAGTCCTATGTGAGTAAAGACACAGTCCCATTTTTCTGCATTGTTCTATTTGTATCTTCACTCATTCATTCTGTTATGGTGTTTTATATGGACTATTTTGTCTATAAAACTTGTGTTATTTTTGCAATCCAGCATCAAAAGGAGTAGTATTCATTCTAAATGAATGAATACATAACAGTTCCACTTTAGAAAGGTGAACTGCATAGAAATCAAAAATAAGATAATGCAGGTGAGAAGTTGCATGGTATAGCAGAACACATAAAGTAACAGAACACATCTGAATAGTTTTCTCACCATTTTTTTCCATTGGCTCTCTGAACAGCCCAATGTGCTAGATATAACTTTCCATTTTACTAAGATGCAAAAGTTCCCATAGTTACTGTAAGAAAATATATATTTGATATTACATATGAACCTGGATCCAGGTTCAAAGGGGCCTAATTGAGATTACTCTACATTTCTTATTTCTTAAGAATAATACAAATGAGAAAAACCATAACATATTTTACTTTGATGTAAATGCAATGTCAACTATTCAATTACTCCTAGAAAGTAATACATGTGAATAATTCCTGTGGAAAAGCTTTCATTCTTTTTACAATGTACAATTATAATGGTACAATGACAATAATGACAGATAATGACAAATGTGTATTGGATATTGGACCCCAGATTATCATGCTATTTATTTGATATGGGTGAATTTCAATCTGAAAACATCCTGGGGGCAGGAGGGAAGGTACCCTGTGAACTAGAAAATCAAAATTAGAATAATCTGAACTATCTGTGCTGAAAGGGATTTCAATTACTCTTTTTATGAAAAATTACAGCAGAGCTTTACAGGTTGGATTGTTAGATTAGGCAAAATTTACAAATGTAGCCTTATTATAATAATCAGAGCTCCTTCATATGGCCAGGATGTACCTTGTAGAGGCTCTTTACATAGAGAATTAATTTAGCTCAAATTCTTATGTTCTCTTCACATCTTAAATTATCTTTTTAAATATTCTTTTTCATTTCTCATCTTAGCATTACCTAGAGCAAATTAATGTATTTAAAAATTAGAAATTAGCAAAATTCAAACAAAAAGTTGAGTATGTCATGATTAATAACACTGTTTGGATGTGTTTGAGTTCCTAGATTCTCACATAGAAAACATAAGGTTAAAAAGGCAATAGAATTTGAAGGTCTCCTTGGTTCCATCTCAGTAATTGCCCAACATTTACCATGTGTCACATTCGGGCGTGTGCGTGTGCGTGTGTGTGCTTGCGTACATATCTACTTTGGTTCCGGGGATGAATGATTGAAGGATGACCTAAAACCTCTTGGTGTAAACAAATTTTTCATCATACTGGTGTTCTAAATATGGAAAAGTCTCATTTATTTATATTTCAGTGATTTGGAACTTTAATAATTGGGAAACAGGCCAGATAAAGTTATCCTTTCCATGATACATGAAAAAAGTTTTCATTAACTAGGTTACAAGGCGTGTTTTAACCTATTAAAAAAAATCAGTTGGTTCGTTAGCACTTTAGAGTTACCACTGTGCATTTAGACCGTGTTCATTTTAGATTACAAATAATTCTAAGTTGTGAAAGAAGTCATTCTTCAGTGTTCTAAGAATCATTAAATCACAAGTAGCAGAAACCTCTGAGATAATCTCGTTCAATGATTCCCAAACCTAGTAAGTTATCAGGATCATCTGAGAGGATAAAAATTTTAGGTTCTGGATAGAGATTTTTAGTTCCCAACTCCTACAGATTATGAGGCAATGGTATGAATCCTTGAAGATCAATACTGTTCCACAAGCTCCCAGTTGTTTCTAACACCAACCAGATTTGGGACCACCAACATGGTGCATTTCTCTACATATGTAGAAATGGTTTTCAGTTTTAAGTAATTTAAGTATTCTTATCTATTTAGAAATTGATAAGAAACGGAAGTTAGTTTTTAAAATATGCTCTGTAGTTGTTGAAAATTGCTGGACAATTGTGAAACATATATATCTTTCTCTTTATGCTGAGCTGAAAAACCTAGGTAGGTCTTCGAGAGAAAAAGCAAGTACCGTGTAGCCACACTTCAAATACTGGAAGAGATGCTACAGGTCTTAGCTTCTGCATGTTGGAAATCCCTATTTTTTTCTGAAAATGTTTCCATTTTCCTTATCATCCTGGTGATGCCTCTGAGTACTTAGACTGTCATTGCTCTTTTTAAAATATGAAGGTCGGAATTGTTCACTGTGTAATAAAGGTGATACGTGACATGATAAAAATACTATTTTTCTTTTAAGGCTTTCCAAAGTCACAATAGTCTTTTAGCGGTCACAATATAATACCAGGTCCTTTTCAGCTTCTAGCTTACTACAAATATAGATTTAAAAAAATAGCAAGTATTATCAAGCCAAGTTTTCTTAGCTTATATTTCTTCCCATTAAAATACTTTAAATAGCTATATATGACTTTTTTTACATTTTTAT